ATAATGAAAAAGATGACGCATTTAATAAGATTTGTATTTTTTAAGTGAGAGGTCGATGAACAGAGTTTGGCGATACCTGTTTATTCAATTAATTGTGCAATATATCGTTACATCAAATGTATATATCAAATGACTGACGTGTATATCAAATGACTGATTTGTATATCAAATGATTGATTTGAGAAAACTGTATTTTATATAACACATAGAATTAAAATACAAAATAATTGAAGATGATTTTCGCCAAAATATTCATATACATGTTAATTTTCGCTAAATAATTTAAGAACATAAAAACATCTACATTATACGACAATATACTTACTATTTTTAAATATATTGAAATTAAAGTTGATATATAGATAAATGAGAAATTAATTAGTTATACTTTATTAGGAAAAAAAAAAGAAATGTTCATAATAGAAAACTTTAATAATAAATATTATTACGAAATCTGTATGAAAATAATTACCGGAAGGAAACAGAAGATTAGATGGGATATTTTAATATCATATATACTATTATTTTATAAAAAATAATTATAAATATAGTGGAGCAAACTTTAAATAATGCAGTATATGATTACTTTAAATAATGCAGTACATAAGACTTATTGCATGGAATCAGGCTTCTCGTTCTATTGACAAAAGAATTTTATTCGTTCGACAGATATAACGAGCTGTAAAATCCGATTACCGCGCGTTATCGGTCCATTCATTAGACTGCATAATCAATAGGCGAATCTTTATCACGGAAATTTATCGATTAACGAAATCGCGATGAAATTAGAACGTTTATTTAAGGTTCTATCTTATGTCGGCACGCGGCAGTTCCGGAAGTAGAGCTAGAATGAGAAATAGAGGAACGGGGAGAAAGAAAGAGAGATTGATAGAGAGAAGGAGATGGAAAAAGCGTCGAGGCCATGAGAAAGCCCAAGGTGGTTCGCGCATTAAGTGATCCATCCGTGAGGAACTGAGATCGACTGCCGACCCTCTATCCATGGGGAAGGTAATTTTATATTCTCCCCCTTGGCCTCGTACCTACAGTCTGTTGCCGCGATGTTACTTCACCTGTTGGTTGCTCGACATTTTGCTTGGTCTCCCTCAACGTATACGTAATATTGATCGGCCACAGCGCGCGCGGGTCGAGAGGCGAGGTGGGTTCCGGCTGTCCTGCAAAGACCTCAGCCACCGAGTATAACGTGATCGGAGAGTATTGTATAATCACGATCACGTCCTGGCTAATATTCCAAGGAAGAGCGCGTCGAGAGAGTGCCGTCTCCGTAAGGAGGTCGACCCATATCCCTAAATTGGTCAATTATACGCTTTGAAACAGGTTGTACCGTCGCCGTCGTATTAACGACTCTCTAAGAATATAGGATAGTCGAAACTCTCTTTACAGTGTGTTGCAATCGAGGAAGCTTGTGCTAAACTGATATTGTATATAATCAATACTTTGGAGATATTGGAAATGCTAAAAAATTTCATCATTACGATTATAATATCAATAAAAATAAATTAGAAAAAAGGCAAATTAATATTAAAAAATTTGATATCATTTGATATGATATCATTTTAATATTATATTATTTGAATTATAATATATGATTGTTTGCATTTAAATATTATATTATAAATGCATGGTTAATAACGCATAACAGTATATATAAAAAATAATTATAAATATAGTGGAGCAAACTTTAAATAATGCAGTATATGATTACTTTAAATAATGCAGTACATAAGACTTATTGCATGGAATCAGGCTTCTCGTTCTATTGACAAAAGAATTTTATTCGTTCGACAGATATAACGAGCTGTAAAATCCGATTACCGCGCGTTATCGGTCCATTCATTAGACTGCATAATCAATAGGCGAATCTTTATCACGGAAATTTATCGATTAACGAAATCGCGATGAAATTAGAACGTTTATTTAAGGTTCTATCTTATGTCGGCACGCGGCAGTTCCGGAAGTAGAGCTAGAATGAGAAATAGAGGAACGGGGAGAAAGAAAGAGAGATTGATAGAGAGAAGGAGATGGAAAAAGCGTCGAGGCCATGAGAAAGCCCAAGGTGGTTCGCGCATTAAGTGATCCATCCGTGAGGAACTGAGATCGACTGCCGACCCTCTATCCACGGGGAAGGTAATTTTATATTCTCCCCCTTGGCCTCGTACCTACAGTCTGTTGCCGCGATGTTACTTCACCTGTTGGTTGCTCGACATTTTGCTTGGTCTCCCTCAACGTATACGTAATATTGATCGGCCACAGCGCGCGCGGGTCGAGAGGCGAGGTGGGTTCCGGCTGTCCTGCAAAGACCTCAGCCACCGAGTATAACGTGATCGGAGAGTATTGTATAATCACGATCACGTCCTGGCTAATATTCCAAGGAAGAGCGCGTCGAGAGAGTGCCGTCTCCGTAAGGAGGTCGACCCATATCCCTAAATTGGTCAATTATACGCTTTGAAACAGGTTGTACCGTCGCCGTCGTATTAACGACTCTCTAAGAATATAGGATAGTCGAAACTCTCTTTACAGTGTGTTGCAATCGAGGAAGCTTGTGCTAAACTGATATTGTATATAATCAATACTTTGGAGATATTGGAAATGCTAAAAAATTTCATCATTACGATTATAATATCAATAAAAATAAATTAGAAAAAAGGCAAATTAATATTAAAAAATTTGATATCATTTGATATGATATCATTTTAATATTATATTATTTGAATTATAATATATGATTGTTTGCATTTAAATATTATATTATAAATGCATGGTTAATAACGCATAACAGTATAGTATTAACTTCAATATAATATTGTGATAATAATAATAATAATATTAATATTTATGGCTTATGGACGATGAAGATCGGAGCAAGAACGTTTATATCACGTTTTTAAAATTTCTATATTAAAATATTATTATTAATAATTATTAGTTGTATCTATTTTATAACATGTCAGTTTTATTTTAATTTAAATTTTAATTTAAATTTTTCTTAGGCTATCTATTTGTATTTATCGGTAATTTAACTTTATTTCACTTAAAGCCAAGTAAAATGACAAAATTAATTCATAAATATTTCATCTTGGAGCAGAAGATTTTTTATATAAATTATTTTCGAGTTGATTATTTATTATTAGTTATTGTATATAAATACTAAACAATTTGATATTTTGAGATAAAGAAATAATATTTAATAAATTTTTATAAAAATGTCGCATGTGCGGTGAGAGACTTAAGCCGGCAATTAGTAACGCGAGCCATTCCGTGTGTCATTGTGTTATTATCCTTCGAAACGCGATTGCGACAAGTAAGGGAAAACGCGGTTATTTCTTACGAACGCACAATATATATGTATACATATTTTAGTTATTATCAAGCTTGCGCGATTACTTAATTCTCACTATTAACGATTCGTAAACATATCAGGTCCAGATGGCTATTTATTCAAAGTAGATGTATCACGTGACTTATCTATTTGAAGTAGGAATTAAAGTGATAAAGAAATAGAAATTTTGATTTATTGTCTCGTGATATTTACGCGCGGCAATTATTTCTGTGATAATATTTGATTTTATTGTTGATTTAAATATATATATCTCGCACCATGTTCTGAATTTTTATCGCCATATAATTTGTTATTATTATCATTTCCGGATTGAGAGAGCAGAGTAAATGAATCCGTATTAAATAATTTCAGCAATGTAAAACAATCGATATATAGAATGTAGAATGATACGCGCAAATCATCGGATTGAATAATTCAGATAGCGGAAAGCCGATCCGTTTATAATCAATCAGAGATATGAAGGATAGAGAATATTTGGTTTAAAATGATAATTTATAAAGCGTCAAATATTTGGCATAAAGTAATGTTTCGCGATGACAACAAACCAATTGGAATGCGGCCTTGGCCTTGGCCTTTGTTTATACTACGTACGCGTCTTGTAGTTCACGTCATTCGCACGACGATGTTCGAGCCGGCAGGTAATGGCTCGACTCGCTCCGCGTATCGGTCCTTGAAACGCGATTATCAGTTTATACGATTAATTATTCTATGAATAATTTATAAACGCATCAAAGTAGTTATTTATGGAAACAAATATTTTGTGTAATTTATTCATTTGAAGTAAAAATCAAAACGATAGAAAATGGGAATTATTGGATGATTGCATAAGTTCGTGCCCGATTTTCATAGATGGCATTAAGTTACTGCATGGCGGAGTTCTATTGTTTTCGTGTGATAATTGTTGCTTTGTTGCTATAGATGACATTGTCTTATGTCAATTTAGCGTCAGACATTGTTCAGATAAGTCCATTGGTGCATAAGAGAAATCATTAAAAATGGAGAACGAAAAGGTGCATTTGCGGCATGTAATGTTATATGAATTTCAGAAAGGCGTGAGTGTTGGGATTGCACAAAAAAATATTCAAACCGTTTATTTTATATATACACATATAGAAAGAAATAGCGACGCGCGTCTTGTTTACATCCTTGAGTTATTTCAGTGTAACGTAGTGGGGTATATCTACAATAAAAAGCATCGAAAAAAGGGGAAAAGACTAGGATTGACACACAGAGAAACGAAAAGATTATCATTATTCTGTCAACGTTTGTATGTTAAGCAACATATATTATATGTTATCAAGTTCTTCTATCTTCTTACCTTTGATAGTGATTCCATCTAGTCCTCTCGTAAAACTTTTTTTTTGCAATGTAGTACTTGAATATATTTTACATTACGTTTAAAATGGATCGAGAAATCTAAATAATGGAGAGTCATCACATATGTATCGACCGTTTATTAATAATTAATTTATGATGCGTTTTGAATAAAATATTTGACATTTGTATTACATCATTTCATAATATATCTAATCTATAATTTATTTTACAGTTAAAACAGTATTTTTGTAGCGGCGAAGAGAGAAAATTAGTGTCCGATATTCGTTTTTTGAAACATTTTTTTTCGCTTACGAAACCCTTCCATTGGGTATACCTTGACGTTGGTGGAAGGGCTTAGTACCTGGAGGGTTTATCCTGAAGGGGAAGCCAAATACCCAAACGCGATTTTTAAGGCTTATAAGGCCCGTTATTAAGTTGCAAAAAATCGCAACAAATAACTCGAGTATCTAATTTTCCGAAAAGAAATACTGCGTCACATTATAATTAGTTTAAATTTCGGGAGTGCCGTGTAAAGTATCGTGCATCTGTTCTTATTATACTGCGGAAGTTTGTTTTTTCTTAATTAATTTGGGAGTGTCGTGTAAAGTGTCGCACGTCCGTTTTTAGCGTGCCATGGACGATTTGCGCGCGATTGTCATTGACCATATTTTTGTAAATAAACGAGTGCCAGACGAACCCTGAACATGAGAGAAGGAAGAGGAAGTCTAGGAGGCATTAGGCAACAGCGGAGCAACCTTAGGGTGAGTAATTTATATTATTTGTATATTATTCTTTATTAATCATACACGCCCGTCTATTCGCATTTATTTGATTTATTTAATTGGATAACTTAAACAAGAATTAGATATAAAAGTCTTTTTTATATATACGATATCTTATAAAAGCTTGTACCTAAAAATAAAAATAAAAAATTTGCTCTTTAAAAATTATATAATTAATTCATTTAATAAACAATACGTTTATATTAAAAAATGGCAAATATAAAATTTGATACGTACAATAATAATTTTTTGAAATATTAATTATTTAACTATAACTTAGATTTTATGTTTATATGTTACAGATCAACGTAGCGTCTACGTAATCAACTCCGCTGCTGCGCATCGATCGGTGAGTCAAAAATTTTTGTTTTCATCAAAACGCCAAATACATATAAGTATTGTCTTAATTTTTTAAAACTTCTATCTACTATATATAAGAATTTAAATACTTTTTGTACTTGACATTTGATTCTCTGGAGGGATTCTTTTATTAATTAGAATTAGCTTAAGACGATAAAAAAAAAAGAATATAATTTTGAATATATTTAATTTTTCTTTAGAAAACTGTAGTATTGTTTTTTTATTTTAGTATCGAAGAGAAAATATATATAGAAACAGTGTTTGCTATTCTAATCGTTATAGTCGACATTAATCGATAGGAAAACACGAGCCTTTTTTTTTGTTGAATATATTAAAATTGTGCTGATAAATTAATCACGCACATTTCCGTATCTTCCGGTTTACTATATTCGCGAGATATAAATTGGAAAAATGAAACAGCTTCGTAAACTTTAAACCAAGGATTTCTCGTGCTTAATTAGCCATGCCCGAATTGAATTCGCGGTCTATTTGATTCGCTTGAGAATTTCGAGTCGTTGCTTGCGCCTGTATCACGCGATGTACTTCAGCTGTACGGAAGAAACATCAAGATGTAACGCGAGTAATTAGTCTCGATGAGCCACGAGGCAAAAGCAAAGAAATAAACAGCAACAAGCGAACCAGATTTTCATGGAAACTATCTATATACATTACTTAGCAAAAACTTGTTGGGGAAATAAATAAATGAATAGTAATATTATTGGATTAGAGTTGCAATTATTTGTTTAATTACGATAAAATTAAAATAATTGCACTTATTAAAATGTAATACATTGTTTGTATGATAGTTGCACAGAATTGAACAAACAGAAATGAATAATGACAATTTAATTATTCTCTCTTATTATATCTGAATGTAATATTTACAGTCTGCGCTTCCGTATGTAGACAATTCATAAACATTATAACTTTTGCATTTTCTTTTTAAATGAAAAAAAAAAAAAAAATTAAAAATTCACTTGTACAAATAATTGTAATTCTTCTTTAACTATAATTTTGAAAACGCAGTGTCGATTATTCCTATATAAAAATAATTTTCAAAATTTTGTTGCTGCTAAAGTTCTGTAATAATTATTTTTTAATACGGCATTGTGTGTTTTTGCTATAACCATCTAACATCTATAATAATATTTAATTAATATAAATTATACATATAATTTAGCATTTGTGACGCTAAATTAATTTTTTGCTCGAAATTGTAGCTTAAATTATTCTCAACTCTATCTGAATACGAAATGAAAAGGCATGTGCTATTAAGATCAATGCTATTAAGCGAAATAACGGGAACGTAACTTTTTGTCGAGAAAGTGCACTTTAATCTTCCTCTAATCTTGTTCCATATGGAATGAAAGAGCATGTACTTTTTGAGTTAAAAAAATGCCGCACATATCCTATTAAGAAAAGTATATAGACAATCATATTTTAACAAGTGGATATATTCGTATTTTATACTCGTATTTTTATTTTAATTTGGCTTATCTGTCTGGATACTTGTGATATCAGGAATTACAAAAATTAATATTTTAAAATTTGTATCTGAAAAATTTATATTTAAAAAATTTGTAAAAATTGTTTAATTAGTTATATATCTTTTTTTTTTAAACAGAAATATACTCTCTTTCTCTCTCTCTCTCTCTCTCTCTTTCTCTCTTTCTCTCTATATAAATATAAAAAGTATAAAACAACCTTATATTAACAGTCACGATTGTAAATTACTCGGTTCAATTGCGATCAAGTCAGTGTTATCAGAGCCAAGGATGGATTTCGCGGTTGAAATAATCTCATCTTGGCGGAGATGCATCGCATACGTGCATCGAGCTTCGTGAAATATCGTTATCAGACTTAACCTCGTTCGCCTGTGATATAGTAAATGTTTACGATCTCATCGAAATCGCGAGCACCGTCGTAATAAAATGTACCGGATATTTTCCCAGAAATTTTCGAAAAATTGCACGTTTTGGTATACGTTTTGCGCGATGATTTTCTGTAGAATCTCGAGAAAAAGTTCCGCTCTTCGTGAAAAGTAATCCATATAAAAATAAGCACAGATGCTATTTCAAAATATTTTTCCGACATATTTGAAAGTATACATAATTCTAAAAAAGCATAATCGGTATAAGAAAACAATGTGTCAAAATAAATTCTTTTTCGTAGAATAAATATGTGATTGACAATGAGTAAAGTTTTAATATGACATTTTTAATATAATTTTATAATTTCTATATTTTTTTCTTTCCATAACCTGTGCATGGCGCGATAATTATATATTCTATACATATAATTAAATTCGACACGGATGATTTAATTTATCTCTTTATGTTAATAAAATCTTATATAAACTATAAAGTTTGTCGAAAAAGATAGGAAAATATATATGTATACATAATTACAGAAATTACAAGGAGAGAAATGACTTCAAACTTTTTAAATTAAATCAGAGGCAATTTTAAATTGTTAAAAATATTTATATTTACAATGTATATAGCTGAAGTATTGAAAGAGGGAGAGAGAAACATATCATTAAAATAAATCTTATAATAAGATTATTTAATTATCTGCTTATCAGAATATGCAAAGATAGAGTTCAGAAGAGGGATTGTGAATAAACGTGTATAAAATAATGCAAAATATTCTGTCAACGTATAACGTCATAAACGTATTAATCCGTTTAATATCGATATGCGATTATATTAATTTATTATATCGGTTGCACTCTTCTCGGAAAATGATATTTAAGTCACGTTTACGTTTACATTATTATGTGACGTGCCGGAATTGAAATTGCTTTGTACGTTTTATATCGCTGATGGTGCGCATTATATCTTGTTGCTGTTTTAATGTTCCTCTTTTCCGTCTACGTATTATTATAGTTCTATCCCTCCAGACACTTTCCGCCATGTATCATGTCGTTAAACCCTACATATTTCTTCCTACTCGCTATCACTTTTACGAAGATACCCTCGCAATAAGAGGTGCTTTTAGCTCCAGAATTCAAAAATATTTTATGATACCTACTACTCTCTCTTTACTCATGTTTCCGAGGTAAAAACAATGCCAATACAAATTTCTGGATGATATTCATGATGCTAGATGAAGAAATTTTAATGTTAAAATATTATGAAAATTTATATATACATATGATGTGCAATTTTTTAACAATTAAAACTGTTTTGTGTGCATGGATAATGCAGACTCGATAATTGAATCGTCAAAATCGATACAGTTCTCGGCAGTTGACCAATCGTTCGAAAAAAGTAAAAATAATGTAATTGAAGAGAAAACAAACAGTAAACTAACGGCCCGGAAAATAAATAGTACCCACTAAAACGTAACACGAATTTAAAGAAGGCTTGCCATTCTGTAGGACGTGTGCTGCATATTTTTTTACGTAAAAATAGTCGATGAGAAATATACAGTTCTTGTTGGCAGAAAATAATGTATATCGAAAATATATAATTTATAGCCAATGTTCTGAATAAGAATTTCTCATCGTTCATATATAATTTAAAGAAGTCTGTAGGACGTGTGCTGCATATTTTTTTACGTAAAAATAGTCGATGAGAAATATACAGTTCTTGTTGGCAGAAAATAATGAAAATAATAAATATATAATTTATAGCCAATGTTCTGAATAAGAATTTCTCATCGTTCATATATATATATATATATA